TTAATTACCTATCCAAATATTTCTTTCTAACTTATATAAATTACTGATTCAGACAGGTTCAAATCATGTCTTGTACATATCTATTAACCATATCACAATTCAATTCACACATGGCACATAATAACACACATAAACACATAATCAATATAAATCATATAATTAGCTTAATTAATTAAGGAGGTGGTTGTCACAGGGGTCCAAGACCCTTTCGGTTTATAAATGCTTAGGTACTATACCCAAATTTCTTGGCAGTGGTAAAAAAGGCTTGGGATGATCCAACCATTACTGGATGGGCTGGATTTACCACAATTTTGAAGCTAAAAAAACTGAAGAATGACACTAAAGAAATGGAACACAAAGGTTCTTGGCAATGTTGCAACCTCCTTAAAAGCTGCTGAAAAGGAATTGCATGATCTGGATTTGGGGCTGAAACTAGGAGCCTAGATGAGGCTGAATAGCTAGGAGAAGAAAAGTAAGAACGAATATTTGGTCACTAAGTAGAAAATAAGAGTGGCTGTGGTTACAGATGTCTAGGATGAAGTGGACTATGAAAACAGATAAAAAAAAAAAAAAGATACAAGATTTTTTTCACATTATGGCAATATGCTGACATAATAAAAATCTGATTGATTCAATCTCAGTGGAGGGGGTGTTGTATGATGAACCACATAGGGTCAAGCATGAGATATTCATGTATTTCAAGAGGTTTTCACCGAGAGATGCATCTCTAGGCCTAAGCTACAAGGAAGCTTCAATTCTATTAGTCAACACCTTGCATCTCTTAGATTGGAAGAAAGATTTTATGAAGCTGAAGTCTAGGCTGCCATCAAAGACTGTGAGGGTAACAAAGCACCTAGGCCAAATGGGTTTAATTTACTGTTTTTCCTAAAGTGCTGGTCTATGGTCAAGAAAGATGTGATGCAATTCTTCAAGGAGTTCCATGATAATGGGATCTTTTCTAAATTAATCAATAGCTCTTTCATATTATTGATTCCCAAAAAGGAGTGTCCAACCAGCAGATCAGATTATAGACCAATCAGTCTGATTTGGTCCATGTACAAAATATTATCTAAGGTCCTCTCTAACAAATTGAAGCAGGTTGTAAGTAGAGTAATAGGGGAAGCACAAACTGCCTTCTTGGGGGGTAGAAATATTTTAGATGGAGTTTTAATTACCAATGAAGTAGTGGATTGGTGGAAGAAAAGCAAGAAGGGGCTTATTCTAAAGCTTGATTTTTGAGAAGGCTTTTGATTCAGTGAATGAGAGTGCCTGCTATCTATGCTCTCCAACTTTTCCTTTGGTTCCAAATGGATTACATGGGTGAAGGAATGCTTGTATACAACCAGAATTTCAGTCTTGGTTAATGGCTCCCCTTCAGCTAAGTTCTGCCATAAAAACCTCTACAACGGAGCTGTGGTGAGACAAAAGGAAATATCTGCAACTCATCTACAGTTTGCTAATGATACAATTGTATTTGCTGAAGCTGAATGGATGGAGGTAACAACCATCAAAAGGATCTTGAGATGTTTTGAAGTACTATCAAGGCTGAAAATTAATTTTCACAAAAGTCATGTATGCGAAGCAGGTGTTCCTAAAGCCTTGGTGGATGATTTTGCAACTAGATTGAACTGTAAAAGGCAGAGTTTACCATTTCCTTATCTTGGACTTCCATTTGGGGCTAATCCAAGGAGAAAGAGCACCAAAATTCCTGTTCTCAACAAATTCAAGTCAAAACTAGCTTCTTCTTTCTTTTGGGGGTAGGGTGACTCTTATTAAGGTGTTCTGTCAAGTCTGATAGTGTTCTATCTCTCCTTATTTAAGATGCCTAAAGGAGTTGCTAAGACAGTTAATAGGATTCAAGCTACATTCCTGGAGAGAGGGGGTTCCAGATTTAAAGAAGAACTACACATGGTAAAATGGGCTGACATTGCCAAAAGCAAAAATCAAGTGGGACTGGGAATTAGGAATGTCTTAGAGGCTAATGATTGTTCGCTGGCCAAATAGTGGTGGAGATGTGGCCCTGAAGACAATTACCATGGTTTGTTTACGTTTTAGAAATTTTTTTCAAAAGTTTTTTTAAAAAAAATGGAAACTAGTTTGATAAAAATAAATATTAAAAAAATAATTTTAAATTTTTTTAAAAAAAATTATTTTAAATATATAATTTTTATTTTAAATATTTCATTTTAAGAATATTTACCAAAAAATCCCATATGAGGGAAAGTTAATCCATTTAATCTTAAGAGTTTTCATATGAACCAATTAGTCTTTTTTTGTCTTGAAAAGTTGTAGTTAGTTGATTTAGTGCCATTTGTGTTGACTTCAATGCCCTTTTGTGATTCATTTTTGTCTAATGTTTGATTCGATTTTTGTGATAGGAATGGAATGTTAACTTGTGCAAGATATTTGTTTGATAACGTTGGTTGGAGGTGAACATCACCCCATTGTTCAATAAATTGAACCACAAAACAAGGCACCAAATATAAAAAACGTGAAGATATTATGCTTAACTTTAACAATAGAGGTGACCCAAATTCGAACCAATATTCAATTACGACATTATCATATTACAACAACTACAACACATCGTCGACATCAAACATGCATCCTGGACAAACGAACACAACAAACATTCAACTAACATAAAATGAACATATACATCCTTTTAAAACCCACCACAAAATGAACCCTAACATGATCTTCCACATTACAATCATCTAGAAATCAAACATTACATACCTCCTTGTTTCATTGTCATTATTAACCTTCAACACCGAGCCCGACGGTCACTTCTTCAATTCTACGTCTACCCAATCTCACGTTTCACCCATGTAGGGTTTGTATCCCCAAACCCTCGCTTTACGCAATTGGCGTATATGGACCTAAATCTCACGTTTCCATTAATGTCTGAAGATTCGTTTTGTAATGTTCGAATCAATGGAATAAATGGGGCTGCGAACTATAGGGTTTCGACAATGTAGGAAATTTGATGTGAAATTGGCAACTAGAAGTGGAAATCCATTATTTCCATTTGTGAATGCAACGTTTCCAACAGTGAATTAAACAATGTAACAGTGAATTGAGGAATCTTCCTATGTTTGTAATGTGGGATTCGTTCATCAAGAAGGAAAGAGCATAAAAATCTATAGTACGAATTGGCATGGTTTTGACAAAACTCACACTTGCAATTTCAACATCATGAAAAAATTCACACGTGTCCCTTAGCACATAACACGCGCATTTTAAGCTTACTCCTTTATGTAATTTACATTGGAATGGGACTTTTGGGTCTATAAGAAAAAATAGAGAACCAAACAATTTTTAAATAAATTTAATTTATAACTTAATTTATAAGGCCATAATTTATTATTTATTGTTATTCGATACTTCAATTTTTTAACCAAACATCAGATTAATAACTTGATTAGACTATTAGTCCAATCTCATGCATATGTCTGCCCAAACAAGTATGGCCTTTGTGTCTTCTCAAACTTGGTGCAGCCGTGGCATCAAGCTGATGTGGTTAACCCAGACACAGGAGCTTCCATTTCTACATCACAAAATTTCTCAATTCACACCATTTTCTTACTCAAATATCAAGTACCGGACAAAAATTAATAGGTCAAATATCAACAACCAAATGGAAAACCCCAATTTAATACTTGATATCCGAATAATTGATTTTTTGTTATGTAGTTGATATTTGATTTATTAATTTTTATTCAATAATTGATATATGAACATAAAAAATTAGTATTAGTTGAGAAAAAAATTGGTGCACAAATGGAAGTTTCCCCCAAGCCTAGTCCTAAGGACATGTAATTCCCAAGTCCTATAAATATGTGATGTAATAAAATAAAATAATAAAAAAGGAGGAAATTGATTCCATCTATAAGCCACTCATCAAATTTGAGATTGAGGCCACTATAAATAACAGCATAGGCCTTTCGTGAAATGAGCAAAAAGGAAAAAAAAAATAACAATAATAACGGTCATCATACAAAGGGAAAAACAAAGGGAAAAGCGGCAACACAAAAGAGAAACAGAGTTAGCTTTAAGTAATTAATTGTTAAAAATTGGGTAATAAATTCAACAGCATAATATAAGCTTTCAAACGAAAAAATTCTTGGAAGAATGGAATTATAAATAATTAATTTCTAATACTTTTATATAAATAATACATTTAAAATTATAGAAATATTTTATTAGTAGAGTAGGCTAGAAATCTACATTCCAAGTCCAACCCAAAAATTAAACAAGCCTAAAAAACTGTCCCTGCTTGACTTGTGAGCTGAAATATCAATCATAAACCTATGTCTATCCGTAGTCACAAATAAAATAGTGCTTACAAAATAAATAAAGATGTGAGGACTATCTTGAGAAATAAATAAATAAAGTTACACTCTCCTGATTAATTAAACATTCCAAATAATTTGTGAACTAATATGATCTTAAAGTTCTGTCTCCAAGAAACATTGAATTTAAATCTCATAGTGGTACATGAATTCGAAAGCTATGGCTCTGTTTTGACAGAAATTATATGTTTTCTATATTTTTTGGTGATTGATTTGATTGAAAATGAAAATTAATGAAAAATACTTTTATAGTAAAAAAAAATTTTTGTAGTGAACAATAAATATTTTTGGTAGAAATTATATCTTAGAAGGTGCACATTGTAAGCTGTTTTTTTTTTTTTTTTGTTATTATTATATATTATATAAAGTCTAGACTTGATTTGGTATAAACTATCACATTTTTATTTTTTATTTTTTCAACATACCTTTGATAAATGCTCTAAAAATTCTCTTAAATTCAACTGATTCAATTAACTGCTATAATTATCAATCCAGCTCTTTCAAATACTACTAACTATTATTTTAAATTTTAGACATGCCCTCTAGTATTTATTTATATTAGATTAGAATAAAGATGTTCATTCTAAGCATGTAATGGGAGAGATGATCTAAAAACCATTAAAATATGAGAAAGTAGAGAAGTACCTGTAATGGGTGAGTTTGGTGCGTCGTCAACGCATTCAGTTTCATGATCACTGCTGTTATCCTTCATTCTACAATACTTGCTTTGCGCTTCACAGATCCCACATGTCGGTTTGAACCAATTCAATGTAAGCTGATATGGCTGCTGGTAAAATATGTCATATGGAATTGGCGATGAAATCTTAAACGACATCTTTTTGCAAGATAATAAGGGATAATCGGACATAAAATCGTCTGACTGAAAGGCATAAACTTTGTGATTGGGGTCACTACTAAGACAAGTGATTGGATTGTATGAGATTGGCTCAGTTGAGGAGCAACTGAAAAAGCTATAATTGTACTTGTAATTCGTTGCTAGTTGGAAGGGAGAGGCAGGCGTATATAAGCTGAGGTTTTGAAGCAGTCGAGGAAAGCAGCCATGAGGGTCATATGTGTGTATCAACTGAGACATGTAATCGATTTCTTTGACTGCTACTTTAACAGAGAATGGAAGCTCAAGCATGGTGTGGTTTTGATGATCACAAGAAAGATCGAAGCCAGGATAGCAAGAGTGTTCTGGCTGCTCATCGTCCTTTAGCCGGAATGGGTACCGTATCTTTGGGCCGTCGCTATTGCATCGTGTTGGCTTGCAATCCTCATGTCCTGTTGCTGCTGCTCCTGCTCTGAGTCCTGCCGAGAGGTCGAGAAACAAGAGCAGAATTAGTAAGGTAGCCATTTGATCTCTTGCTTAACTCTCTCTCGAGTTACAAAATTTTTAGATTAAAGTAATCAATATTTTAATCTCTTCAATTCGAATGACGAATTTAGGGCAAATTTCACTATCCCTTATCCCTCTCATATGAAAATATTCACATAATTTTATTGTAGTGCGTGGATTGAAATATATCGTTGAATATTTTGTTTAACTTAATAACAAATGTAAAATACGTGTCAGACATAAGAAGTGATATACTCGTCTTTAAATTTCAATGTGATAAATTACACATAAAATAAAGTACAAAGAGTTAAATTATATTTTGTCTTCCAAACAAATAACGAAAATATCCGTAATTTACACACTTAGGTTATTTATATACATGATATTTTATTCTTTTTTATTAAATCGTTAACGGGTTTAACGGTACACTTCGGTTCATAAACTATAAAAAAGTTATGTAGTTATTTCTAAATATGAAAGGTAATCCGTATATGAGCCAAATTATAAGGGGATAAATTGAATTTTGTCCACAATTTTTCGAGAAGCATTTGGGATTAAAAACTTTTTTGTTGTTTCCGTTGACGGAAAAACAGAGAGAGAGGGGGGGGGGGGGGATTTAACAGGGCTAAGCCCAAAAATTTGCCCATGAATTTACTTAAAGTAAAAATCATGAACTATTATCCTTACAATATGAGCAATGTGACATAAATATTGCAGGTCATTTAATTATGCAAATTATGACTTGTTATCATATTTGTTATGGTAAATTATATTTTGGTTCATTTATATTTGGTCACTTTTTACTTTAATTTAATTTTTTTATTTTTATTTTGACCCGTCATGTATCAAGTTTTTCTCAATTTATTTTTAAAACTAACTTTTATTAAAAATTAAATAAAAAATAACATATTAACACTTCACGTAGTATAAAAAAAATGACAAAGAATAAGAGGGACTTCCCAAGCCGGATGTAGCCCAAATAGGGGTGATGAAATGTTGTGCGGCATCTTTTTGCAAGATAAATTGTACATAAACTCATCCTATTGAACGGCATTGGGGTCACTAAAACAATCGGTCAGATAATTGTATAAGATTGGCTTTGTTGAGGAGCAACTGAAAAAGCTATAATTATTGTTGTAATTCGTTCCCAATAAAAAAATTTTAAAAAAAATTTAAATAAATTAAATAATTGTTGCCAGTTGAAGAGGAGAGGCAGTACCAGTAGTAGTATGTACGTATTTGAATTCAATTTATTGGACAACTACTTTGACAGAGAATGGAACCTTAAGGATAGAAAAATTATTTGTTGATCGAGGACGTCACGTGGTCAAATTTTTAGTCAATCACAAATCTTCATATTTCTTTATGCTTTTCAATAACCTAATACAAAATTGTGAATCTTTTTCTCTTTACTAATTAGAAAACACATAAGACATCACGTGTAACACCCTTAAATAAATACATAATAACTCAACATTCTCGACATGCATAGACATAAGAGAATAAAGCATATTTTCATTCATCAGAGTATTTAAGTATAAAAGTACTACATGTTGACATCAAAAGTAAATGGCCTATGAGCTTACAACTTTCAAAGTCAACACTTGGTTACAACAAAAGAAGAATTCTAACTCTTTATACAAAATAAGCCATTGGCTTGATTTACATGTAATACAAAAGGAAACCAACAAAAAGTCTTTCAACCTCTAAGTCTCCCAAGCTACGCCCTTGGAGGTAGCATATCACCTGAACATGAAAATGATGTCCCATATAGGGTGAGCCAATGCCTAGTAGAGATAAACTAAACCAAATATGAGAATTAAGTAAAACATTAGCATTTGATAAATGGTTAACACTTGTAAACCATCTTACAACACTTTCCAGTTCAATAACAAATATATTCGTTTTTAATTCCATTTTCCATCACGTACACAATTTTGATACATAAACATGGCTCAGAACCTGGCCAAACAATTAAATGAGACTACAACTCATATTAAAACACTTCCATACTTCAATTATCTACATCATGCAAACGCAATAAGGATTTCGGGACTTTCACCCTAGACACTTTGGCCAACTTAGTTATCAATGGAGTCCATCTCTTATCTCCTCCCAAACAGGTTTGAGAGTGCATCCCCCATCTCTTCTCAAACCATGGAGTGTATCCCCTATCTCCTCCTACACAATATACGTATACAATGTATTTAAACACTTATCATTTACAATAATCAATCAATACATATATTCAATGTATTATTCCAACCGTCATATTCAATGACATATTCCAGGTGATTAGTTTCAATTTTCCCTAATCAACATAGAGTATCTACAACAACCAAGACTATCCTCCACCGATAGCCCAAAACAGTTATCTCTAAACAGATAATAAATTTATCAAACAGATAAAACATCAACATTCTCATAGGTGAGTGATTTAATTATCCAACCACCGTTCAATCTCATAATTTCCCAATTTCATAATTTCCAACTCAATTTCACATTCTCATAATCTCTCAAATTAATTATATAAATTAATTAGTCACATTAAATTAAGGTTTTTCCTCATTTTTCCCAACATTAGCCCTAAGGTTCATTTTCATCAATTCAACAACTATAATTCCATTTTTCATAGTCCCATATACAAATGGATCTTAACATTTGAAAACCCCCTTTTCATAACTTAAAATCAAACCCTAACCTTCCCAAAATTCCCATAATCCACCATTTATACAAAATACATAATATCTATGTCAAAACCCATAGAAAAGAGTAGGTTATCCCTACCTCAAATGAAGAGACCAAATGGAGGAGATGATGAAACTTGAAATGCTCCAAACTCAAAGATTTTCGGATCAATATGTAGCCCACCCCAAGCTCTACCTTTCTTACAAAGAGGCTAGGGTAGGAGACCACTAGAAATAGATGGATTTGTAGAGAGAAGGTGTATTATAAAGAGAGAAGCTCTCAAATTAGGTTTTTGGAAAGTTAGAAAGAGAGTGAGCGATGAAAAAGTTATTTAAAATAACACAGTCGCTATCTGATATACGTTTCGTCCGCTCAAGCGGAGAATAGGACGCTCGAACGTAAGACACAAAAACTTTATCCGATCGAGCGCCAAGGCACAACCGCAAAGCACTACCCGCTAGAGCACGAAAGGACCCGTTCGAGCGTAGAATACACTCCTCCAATATTTTTACAGACTTCAGACACCCGCTCAAGCGCAACAAACCCGCTCGAGCTCAAACCCGCTCGAGTGTAAAGAACTCCGCTCGAGCATAGAAAACACTTCTGTAGTACATTTGCAGATGCACAAAATGCTGAAAGGATGCAAACTCCACTCGAGCGTAATAAGACCCGCTCGAGCAGATTATCAAAAATCTGGGCAACAAGATTAGAGACTAAAACTCAACCAACCTGTTTGAAACACGCTCAAGACATTTCTAAACTCAAATTCAAAGAGTTAAAGGACGAAAATGCAACATATACAACAACAAACATCCATGGAACCGAGTTCGGAATACAAAACCAATGGAGAGGAAACCGGGATCGCTATAACCTCCACCCCTTAAAGAATTTCGTCCCTGAAATTAGATCTAAGTTTCAAAATTGTGATTTTTCAATTCTCAACAATATTACAACTTAACATTCCACATCCTGACCCATTACTGGTCATCCCATCTCTATTCAAGAGGCAATTCACAATATAATATTATTCAATATGCATTATCAACATGCTTTTCTTTGAAATTCAACAAATTCCAATACCATATTCCACCATTCCATAACATATTCAATGTTATGGATATATTTGCATTTCTATAACACATTCAACATATATACTCAACCATTACAATATTTTCATAAACCAAAACATATACAATGTTCTTAGGGTTTATCAACAAAACAAAGTTTTCAATACATGATTATACATTAACAAACAAGTCCGGATATTTCTCACGGACTTCCAACTCGCGTTCCCAAGTGGCTTCCTCAACCCCGTGATGTTTCCACAAAACTTTTACCAAGGGTATCGTCTTGCGTCACAAGACTTGATCCCGCCTATCCAAGACCCTCACCGATCTCTCCTCATACGAGGCATCCTCGTCAACCTCTAAGTCGGTCCAATCCAATACATGTGACGGATCCGACTCGTACTTCCGAAATATACTAACATGAAACACGCCATGCACCCCGGACAATTGCGGCGGTAAAGCTAAACGATAGGCAACCTCGCCAATCCTCTCAAGGATCTTGAAAGGGCCAATAAACCGAGGGGACAACTTCCCACTCTTCCTAAATCTCATCAAACCCCGCCTAGGTGATATTTTCAAGAAGACATGATCACTTGCCTCAAATACTAAAGGCCTCCTCCTACAGTCGGCATTACTCTTTTGGTGACTCTGGGCTGTAACAAGCCTCCTACGGATAAGCTCAATTTTCTCCGTTGTTTCTCGCACTAACACCGGGCCCAACAAAGGTGCATCACCCACCTCGGCCTAACACTCTGGACATCTACATGGTCGGCAATATAATGCCTTAAACGGTGTCATACCAATACTCGATTGGAAACTGTTGTTGTAGGCAAACTCCACCAAGGGCAAGCAACTCTCCGATGAACCACTAAAGTCAAGGACACAACCTCGAAGCATATCCTCAAGGATCTGAATAGTACGCTCAGACTGCCCGTTAATCTGAGGATGATAAGCCGCGCTAAGGGTCAGCTTAGTGCCCAAGGTACTCTACAAACTCTGCCACAACCTAGCAGTAAAACGTGGATCTCTATTTGAGACGATCGGCACTAGGACCCCGTGCAACCTCACTATGTCCCGAATATACAAGTCGGCAAGATGATCTACCGAGTCTCTCACGCACATAGGAATGAAGTGCGCCGACTTAGTCAACCGGTCAACTACCACTCAAATAGCATCACTACCCCGCCGAGTCCTCAGAAGACCCACAACGAAGTCCATAGTGACATGCTCTCACTTCCACTCGACAATAGGCAAGGGTTGCAACAAACCTGCTGGCCTCTGATGCTCGGCCTTCACTTCCTGATAAGTAAGGCACTTAGATACAAAAACTGCCACATCCTTCTTCATACCCCGCCACCAGAACTGGCGACCCAAATCATGATACATCTTAGTGCC